TTTTTCTCATTATCCTTACTTTATTAATATGCTTATTTGAGTCAGTATTTAACCTTGAAATGATTTTGACTAATGAATAAAGTTAACGCATTGTTTAATATAAGAATGCTCAGTACATTTGCCTGTCTCTTTGTAACTCTATTTTCAGGAACCACCAAACCAGGTCAGAGGTCATGAAGATCTCGAGTGGAACTGAAGGGCTTGATGATTGAAATCGACTGTTTTCCTATGTGTATTGCTATGTGTTAATGCTGTCTAAAGTGATTTTGATATTATTATTTTGTGTTAATTCTGTTTAAAGTGACTTATCTTTTATTCAAGATAGACTTTGTGTAGTAAGAATATAGTATCCTAAATGTAGATTATACCGTATTTTTAACCAGATTTATAAAGACGGCTGAGAGTGCACTCAACCTCGGGTAAGATACAGATTGTACTTTGAGTGTGTGTGTGTTCTTTTCGATTGTAGATCATTTCACAGGTCTGGGGTTAGCTCTAAACAGCCTAGTAGATGTCTGACGTTTGTGTGCTTGAGATATTGAGATATCGTTCAGAGTTGTACGCACACACTCATGTGAAAATTTTCTAAGTCTATCTGTACTTTAACCAATCAGGTTAAAACACGTATGAATGGCGCAGTTAATAAAGTTATGTTAGAAAATAATTGTTGTTGTTCTATGTTCTGTGATTGTAAGCAGAGCGGCCTAGGAACTCATTGCAAGTGTTGAAGCTGGCTTCTGCTGCACTGTTAACCCTTACTGTAGATTATGCAGTAAATAACTGTAAAATAGCCAGTGTTTTGCTGTATTAAAAGGAAACAGTATTTTACTGTAAAAGGAGCAGGATTTGTATGAAATTTTGTAGTGCAAAGAATAAATTACAGTAATTTACTTTATGTACCCATTACAGATAGTTACTGTGATAATAAATGGTAAATTACAGCTCAACCATTACTACCCCATGTACTGCTTTATGTTGCTATATATATATATATATATATATATATATATATATATATATATATATATATATATACTGTTAAGTTTTGGTATGTGTATGGTCAGTATTGAGGAGAAAGTGAGACAATGCATTGATGATAAGCTAAATTTCTCTGCAGCCATCTCTGTGTTTTCTTTGGTTCCTTTTATGTTTTTAACATTGAGTATCAGGAGTCAACCAATGTCAATGTCACAGAGCTAATTAAAAGGTAAAGATATCGACGAGATGCATTTAAAGGCAAAAATATTCACACAGAGCAACCAAATTATCACAATCATTTTTATAACTTTGTTTACTTTTCTATAATTAATTTAATTTGCCTAGTTTAGCCAATAGTTAAGCTTTTAAATTGCACTTTAAGCTGAATATTAGTATTTTGCTAATTAACTACTAAAAATTTGTTATTTAAAAAATGTGTTAAACAGCACGTACATACATTTTCGCAGAGACTCAATGAATTTGTTTGGAAAACTTCAAATGAAGTTGGTAAAAATGGCATTAACAGTATAGTATAAAGACTTTCCTAAATAAATGTATTAATCAGGTTATTTGTTTTTTATTATTATTATTATTACTACAGGTTTGGAACAACATGAGGATCAGATTATTTATTTATTTTTTATTTTTTTGCTTTGGATGACGTTTGTATATTGTTTGTATATTATTGTTTTTATTCAGTGATATGTGCATGATTGTGATAAATGTAGGCAATTCCTTTGAAAATATGCTATGTACCAAGGATGTCAAACTCCTGGAGGGCCGCAGCCCAGCAGAATTTAGTTCCAGCCCTGCTTCAACACACTACCTTTAGATTTAGTTTGATCAGGTGTGTTTAATTAGTATAACTGCACTGTTACTCTGTAGATTGTGCAGTAAATAACTGCAAAATAGCCAGTGTTTTGCTGTAATAAAAGAAAACATTTATTATTTATTAACACATTATTTTACTGTGAAAGGAGTAGACTTTGTATGAAATTGTGTAGTGCAAAGAATTAATTCCAATAAATTCTCTGATGGTTTATGTTGCTATTTATAGAGAAGTGCATTTTAAAGGCAGAAAATAATGATTTAGGCATCACCATATACTCCCACAGGCTGTCTGTCTTATTCTAAACACAAAGGTGTTAGAAATAGTTTTCAGAAAATGCTGGCCCTTTAAGGGAGTCAGGTGTTTGATTTGTTTACTGCTGAGTGCGCTCTATTCTCTGTCCATCAATTCAGATGTAGAGTCTGATATGTTTTAGGCTTTAAATAAGAATCTATAATGAGTAAGTAAAATGTGTTCAAATGTTTTTGAGGGTTTCTAAAATAAGGCTGTGTTTTAAGTTATATTGTTGTTATCTTGAACTGTGTACTTGAAAGCTACATTGTTAGCTAGTTAGCCTCTCCTCATATAACTTCTTACATTACTTTTGTTTAAGTATTTATTGGATATTGCATACTGCCATAATGTACAGATGCTAACAGTTGTATGTATCTTTCTGGCAACTAAGCCAAAATTAAATTCCTTCATCTCAGTAAGGTAACTTGTGCACATCATCACAGGGAATCACAAAAACATGATACACATAGCCATCCACACACAAAAGCTCCACTGTCCGGTCCCAGGTTGTGAGTTTGTTGCTAAGTATTTTTCAGAGCAGTGTTTCCATCTATGAATTTATATTAGAAACAATAATAAAGTTTGTTGTCATGAGAGAATTATAACAATAAAAGATTGGATCCTTTGGTTTTTCGGTGTTGCCAACTTTATTTTTTATAATTACTTTAAACTTTTTATTGAGATTTAACACAGTTTTTAATTATTTAAAACTTTAAACTTTAAAATAATTATGTTGTGTTTTTTGCTGTTCATTTGCTGATCTACCTTCCTGCAGATTTTAGTTGCTATTCATTTCAAACACACCTAAATCAATTAATTAGGACCTGAACACCACTTGATAATTACAGGCAGGTGTGTTTGATATGGGTAGCAACTGAAATCTGCAGGAAGGTAGATATCCAGGAACAGGATTGAGCACCACTGCTGTATACCATGGGGGTCAAACTCCAAGTTCCTGGAGAACTGCAGGGCAGCAGAGTTTAGTACCCACCCTGCTTCAACATTACCTGTAGATTTCTAACAAGCCTTAATTAGTTTGATCAGGTGTGTTTAATTAGAGTTACAGCTTAAAGTCCCGGTCACACTGCACTTTTCTCCCTGTAGACTTTGCTTTTTCAATCTCTAATTATTTTGTTTAATTCCACTACTCGCTGTGTTTAATTCCACTTCGCAGTGCAGTATGACAGAATTTTGCTTGCTCAAATGTTAGTGTGACCGCAGCCTAACTGTGCAGACCTGTAATATGCAAGACAATATTTATATCTGCTGATTTCTTAATTTTGTTATACTTTTTCTGTTATTTATTTGTTTCGTGCCAAAACAATAAAATTTGTCTGAAAAATGTTATGCCTTCTATTTTTAAATAACAGCTAAGAATACTGATTAATTTTAGTAACACTACAATAACTATATAAGACATACTATTAATGTGTATGCAGTATAATGCTGTGATTTTTAACACTACAATACAGTAATTAACTGTACACAGTTTCCAGTTAGTTACCACTGCTGCTCTATTACAGTAATTAACTGGCAACACTATTGCCAGCTACTCCCTGTATCGGTTCAGTTACAGTAAATAACTGGCAACACTGTTGCCAGCCACTCACTGTAATGGTTCAGTTACAGTAGAACACTGGCAACACTGTTGCCAGCCACTCACTGTAATGGTTCAGTTACAGTAATTAACTGGCAACACTGTTGCCAGTTACTTACTGTAACCAAACTTTTGTTGCCAGTGTTCTACTGTAAAAAACCCTGGTAAGGTCTAACAGTGTGATGAAACTGCAAACTATCTTCATTAAACTTTCTTTTTAATTGAATCTCTTCTTTATCTGACAGATTGGTCATTTTTTGGGTTCAAACTATTAATTATCCCTACACAGTTTAATTCACAGAATTTCTACAGAATTTCTAAAGTATTTTGTATACTGTAAACTCACAAATTTCCATGATGCATTCTTTTTTCCTCATTTAAAATGTAAAAAAATGTTTACAGATTGATATTTTTCAGATCCCATAACTCTGTGGTTAAAAATAAGCAGATGTTTCAATATAATGTACACATATACTTTATCGTTTGAGATTTTACTGCAAAAGTCACATCCAAAATGCTGGAATTGCTCATAACATCTGTTTAAGTGTATTTTTTGTTGTTGTAGTTTAATGCACACGTAAACTGCATAATATAATGTAATATGATAAGATATGATATAATACACAGTTGAAGACAGAATCTTCAGCCCCCCTTAGATTTTTTTTCTTCTTTTTTAAATATTTCCCAAATTATGTTTAACAGAGCAAGAAAATTTTCACAGTATGTCTGATGATATTTGTTCTTCTGTATAATGTCTTATTTGTTTTATTTAGGCTAGAATAATTTATTTTTTTCAAACTATTTTAAGGAAAAAATGATTAGCCCCTTTCAGCTATATTTTTTTCCAATAGTCAACAGAACAAACCATCGTTATTGATTACCTAGATAACCTAATTAAGCCTTTAAATGTCACCTTAAACAGTATAGAAGTGTCTTGAAAAATCTCTAGAAAAATATTATTTACTGTCATCATGGCAAAGATAAAATGAATCAGTTATTAGAAATGAGTTATTAAAAATATTATGTTTAGAATTGTGTTTAAAAAATCCTCTCTCCGTTAACAAAAATTGGGGAAAAAATAAATAGGGAGGCTAATAATTCAGAGGGGGCTAATAAATCTGACTTCAACTAATATAATATAATATAATATAATGTAATGTAATGTAATGTAATGTAATGTAATGTAATATAATATAATATAATATAATACAATACAATACAATATAATATAATATAATATAATATAATATAATATAATATAATATAATATAATAATGTGTGTGTATCTCTACTGAGGTTTACCTTCACATAATGAACAAGAGACTCCTCTTCATTGACTTTGTATGTTTTCACCCCATACTGTTTGGCTATTCTTAGAATGCGGTTTTGAGTTGGTCCAATGTACGCTCCTCCCAGATCCACCCATTTGGTCTCCTTATTCTGAAATTACACAGGTGATAAAGTTGTTAGTGAAACTCAGACAAGCCACAAAATGACCAAATAAAGAAAGTGTCAGAATAATAGACAGCAGATTCCCTTCTACTTATAGGTAGCCTACCAGCTACCACTATACAACTTGAAACTTGATTTTGCATGGTCACAATAATAATATTAAAGGCTATTCCTGTCTTGGCAACATGAATCCATAGTTTACCTATCTGTCAGAGGTCTGTAACTCATGACTCAAAATCAGGAAAATATAAATAGTCTGAGGGATGTCAGTTTGTGTGAAATTGACAAAAAGTATTTTCTTGATAATTATAAGACATCTTGCTAGGCGTTTTGTGCTGGTACTGCTGATTTAAGATTAAAATAGTGAGCTGACTCCCCCCAAAAAAGTTTAATGTTTTTATAAAAGCTTCATCTAAAGTGCTAATTAATGAAAGTATAGATGGCTCAAGCTTGTGAGTTCAGTGTTCTCCGGTTCCACTTGTTCTGATCTGGCAAAGGATTTAAGTATGTCAATTTCTGCAGCAGCTTATCAACAGAGTGAAAAGACATCAAAAGCAAGTCCATATTTGCTAATGAAACTGCAGTGTAGCAGATCTAAAAGTATGTTAGAGTTCGCTCTCTTTTTCAGCAACACTGGTTCTAGGTGTTTTTTTAATTTTGTCCAGCGAGATTTGATTTAAAGAAAAGAACTCTATTAAAATCTGCAAAATACAAAGATATAAGAATGTGTACTTAATGGCTTTAATGAGGAAAAAGACATGCATAAATATACTTAGTTTAGTCCTTTATTTATCAGGGGTCACCACAGTGGAATGAACCGACAACTAGTCCGGCATTTGTTTTATGCAGCGGATGCCTTTCCATCCACAATCCAGTACTGGGAAACACTCATACACTTTCACATTCACACACATACACTACGGCCAATTTAGTTAATTCAATTCACTTATAGCGCATGTCTTTGGACTGTGGGTGCACGTGATTTTGCCATGGGTTGGGCTAAATTCATTCATTCATTTTCTTGTCGGCTTAGGCCCCGTTTACACTAATGCGTTTTAGTTTGAAAACGCATAAGTTTTGCTACGGTTACGCCATCCGTCCACACTATGCCGGAGTTCTCAAGCGCCGAAAACGGAGCGTTTCGAAAACGCTGGAGAGGCCGTTTTCATTCTAAAACGCTGCTGCTCCGTCTCAGTGTGGATGGGGAAAGACGGAGACATCTGAAAACGGAGGCGGGGCTGCAGACATTCGCCTCTCTGATTGGGGCTTTTCCTCAATATTAAGTAGCCTAACACACAGTTCAGTCCTGAATCTTCTCCGTGTAAGTTCAGACTTCGCAAGTTTGATCAAGGCTGCATCTCTTCTTCTCAGTTTGATATGGAAAACATACCGAGGACACGCGTCAATCTTCACAGGGAACAGTGTACTTTATAACTTCATTCACATCACCTTGGCTACGTTGTTTCACTTTCTCAACAATAAAATGTAAACTTGATATAAGGAACTGCCTATTTTCATTTTAATATTAACAACTAAACAGACAGCAGAAATGTTGAGGCGTCGTGCTGCATGAGCGTCATCTTCACTGTGTGCATATTTATAACAAAACGGAGCCAATAACAACTGCCTCCTTTCAATTTCAGTGAAAATACGAAACATACCCTCTCTTTTGCTGAATATCAGTTTTAATAATCGATAATGGCCATTATAAAAGTATAACATACAATAAGTTTATACATTATAGGAAATAAAGGCAAGCGATCAGTCAATATACAGAATGTAGGCTACGTGCTTACATTAATCATTAACTTATCTTTGCGCTCAGCCAAAACACGTTACCTGAGAACAAGTAATAGATTCCAATGACCAAAGTCAGGGAATATGTCGTTAGATAAAGACAACAAGATGAATGAAATATCACGTTTAATAAATATAGTGAGATTAGATCCAGCGGGAGATGCTTGATGAGAAGTCCGACTAGCAGAGCTCTCATCTGGGTAGATGGGCTCCAGCGATTGCCAAAGTGTGTGTGTGTGGTCACGTGATGTGCGTTTTCAGCGTTTTGGTGTGGACGGAGAGCAGTTCAGAAACGCTGGGTAAAACGCGAGTGTGAACGCGGATCGTTTTCATTCTAAAACGCCGTTTTAAAACTAAAACGCACTAGTGTAAACGGGGCCTTAGTCCCTTTATTAATCTGGGGTCGCCACACCGGAATGAACCGCCAACTTATCCAGCAAGTTTTTACGCAGCGGATGCTCATCTCTAGGAAAGGGTTGGGCTAAATATTATCCCTTAATAGTAGAAATACTAAAGTTTTTTTTGACCACCCCTTGTCGTTTTAAACAATATCACAACGGCAAACGCATCAAGTATAAAAGCTTCGTCTGTTTCGTGAGGTGCGCATGCAGTCAGCAGTGCGGCACCAGGCGAAAGTATGAATCAGCCTTAAGACAACTCAGGTGTCATTAATGCATTCACAGTCATTAATTTGCTTTATTAATCAGAGGTCGACACAGTGGAATGAACTACCAACTTATCCAGCACATGTTTTAAGCAGCGGATGCTCTTCCAGCCACAACCCAACACTGGAAAACACCCACACACTTGTAAGAAAAAATGATGATGATGAAGAAAATCTCAATGAAGATGTTTATTCAGCATAGCAGTCTCAAAATACATGGCAGTACCTTGGGTTCACTGGAGTCAGAATGAACCTTGAACATTCTTAAACTCAAACCTTTATACTGTTTTTGATGTTGCCTTTAGATGTTAATGAAGTTGCTCCTTGGCTGTTGACCCAGCTGTTCTCCCTATCTCTCCATGTTAATGCAGTTTCAACACCATTGATGAGATGATTCTTTGTGCACCACACCCATCCCCATTCTACAATTGTTACCATTTGATCGAAATGTAGTCACTTTAATCAATGCAGAGACAAGACCTTGTTGACTTCTCTTTTCTCTCATAAGTCAACCCTTTTGGGAAATGAGCATCAATTTACCATTTAGAGTGGAAGTTGGGTCAAGGCAGACTCATTTCTTACACACTCTTGCACACACTTACATACACTATGACCAATTTAGCATATCCAATTCACCTGTGGGGTGACTGTGGGGGAAACCAAAGCACCTGAAGGAAACCCACGCGTACACGGGGAGAACATGCAAACTCCACACAGAAATGCCAACTGACCCAGCTGGGGCTCGCATTTACATTGTATACAATTTACAATTACATAAATAATTGATGAAAATACAACTTTAAATATTTAAAACATATACACAGTGACTTAATACTAACATGATTTTTCTTGTTTGCAGTATCACACAATGTGGTCAGCAGACCTATCTTCTTATCTTATTATCACACATGTAAAAGCAGACTGTGGATGTCGCAGTAAAGTAATTTCATTTGCTTTTCATTTGCTTCATTTGATTTCAGATGAGTATCTTACCTGAACAGTGTAGGTTCTTCCACCAACACGGCTTCTGGCTTCCAGGACCACAGGATTCAGGCCGCTGTCCACCAGCAGCTTGGCGGCACTCAGACCTGGAAATCAGAAGGAAAAACAGAATATATAAATGTGATAATATCTGAAAGATTTGTCTTTGAGACAGACCATTTTTATTGTGGGGACATCAGGAAATAAAGAGAACAAAAAGGGAAAGAAATCTGAACCTGTGTCATCAGCATGGTCACAACTCAGCATTTTGGCTAGCCACTAAGACATACATACTGTATCTCCAAAAATGTAGAGAATGAACTGAGATGTGGTCTGTAACTGTATTCAAACTGTAACTGTCCTGAAAATATTAAAATCTATTCCTGTCTTGACAGCATAGTTCCTGTCTGACTGTGCAGCTACAAATGAGAGTGCTGTCACTGGTTTTCTATTGTGTGTGATATCATGACTGGCCTACACTATAAATAACATCTACTCTAGCTCTATTTGACCTCTTCTGAACAACACAAAAGACACAAAAGACAAGATTGTCTGGCTTGTACAATGTACTAAAAATGGGGAAACAGACTCTAAGATCTGAACTGAAAAAGATGTCAGATGACCAGCCCAGAGGGACAGACTGACATTTTCCTACACCAAAAAGTAGTAAAAAAATCAATTTAAAGAAAAGTACAATTAAACATCAATTAAATTAACCTTGGGGTGTTATATCAGGGTTTCTGCAGACTTTTTAAGACAATTACAAATGAAATTTCAGACTTATACAGGGCTAAATGCTAAGGATTTTTTCAAGGACCAGTGGAAAGGTTTCTACTTTCCCCATTAAAATTCAAATTTAGATCTTTCTAAGCCACATATTTAAAATAATATGTAAAAACTTCAGTTTTAAAAAACAATAAACTTAATTTATTTTGTGTACATCAGTGTCCTCACCAGGTAGCTATAAATATCAGGACTTTTAAACAAATGTTATTGTAATAATCAATAATTAAACCATATGTTTAAATGAATTAAGACCTACAACCCCATATTTAGGTGAATTTAAGACTTTATAAGGCCTAACACTTTGTGTAAAATTTGTAACATTTTAAGTTTAAGTATAAATTGATTATACTTTGAGTTAATAATAGAAAGATAAGGACTCCCTGTATATTTCTATTATAAGCTCAAATGAACCAAAACACTCAGTGTAAAGACTTTTGCAGGACAAGACGAACTCTGTGAATGTTGGGCGTTTTCTTTTCTGTGGAAAACTGCAGGGCTCGACGACAAAGTATTTTTAAGGCAGACCTGGTTTGGCCTGTAGCTCTTACTTGCCCTGCAAGTATTTGACAAGAACAACCACAAACACTTTAATACTACTGTACCACAGCTTAACAGTCTCCATGTCTTTTGGCATACAGCACAGCACAGTCACACAACTAATTCTATCCATATCTTTCTACCAATTCTTTCTTATCCCGATAGGCTGACACTATTGTGCTGACACATAATTTACCCAGATTGAAGAGACATAACCAAGCATATTTTTAAATTACAAAAAAAGTTATTGGCTTCCAATACTTGATAGTGAAGAAATATACATGTCAAACAAAATTAATTCCAGTGACTGGTCATTTAGCTATGCATTAATGCACATACTGTAATGTTGTAAATAATACAAATCACTGAGACTCCTATTTAAACCCCTGAGGGTGTGCAGTGATTATAGTGTAACAGCAATAAACCAAGAGTTTCCTCCAAAGCTCTGTTCAAAACTGAAAGCCAGAAGTGAGAACTAGGTTCCCTGCAAGGAAAAATCACAAGTCAAACATCAATTCATTGGAGTTTCCTCTGTCTGAACACACACACATAAGCACTTCCTCTCCTTTCAGGGGAAGTAAAACTGCTCCAGTGAATTTCTCATGACTTCTTACAATATTCTATAAGTGAGTTGAGACAAAAACTACAGTAGGACAATTCTAGATGCCACTCAGCTACAATAGTAGATAAATATAGTAGATCATCATAAAATCATCATGATATCATTTTTAAAGTATGGTAATTAGTAATAGCAAAATAGTATTTAATGTAATATTCTTTTATATTTATTGGCATTTTACCTTATGACTATTAATATATGAATTTAAAGATTACATGTAAAACTACTGCACATGATTTAGAAAAAAAAAGTATTTAAAACAATAATTGAATAAAAATGTCTCAATTTAAATTTAAATTGCAGCACATCAAAATAGCATTAAATGTATGTTTACTAAATATCAAAAACCCATAAAAAAGTTTAACCTATTTTCTTAAATGCTGTGCGCTTACAGCCGCAGTGATGTGACAATGCAGCTGATGACATCTGAGGCCAAAGCATGACCTTAGGAGCTTATATAATACTACAAACTGCCTTTGATATGTGGAAAAAGTGGCAGCCGCCCAGACAAACAGCTTACACAAACACACGGTCCAACCATCTGAAAGATTCCAAACCATTTAGGTTTTGTATCCAGCAATGACCCACATCATGCAGCGCTATGAACACAAAAAAAGACCCTGCAGATGCTTGCGAAGTCTGATATCTGACAGCTTTGAAATGTTTGTTTTACTAAATAACGTTTTGGTTGAGCGACAGACCTAGAAAGAAATCAAATGTAAACCTCTACGGCTTTGTTCACACTAATGCAATTTGGTTCTCGAATCTAATCTTTCCATTTTGCAAGTGTGAAAATCTGATCTGCTTGTTCAGACAGCGTAGTCAATATTACGTTTCTATATCAGTTACTATAGAAATGTGTGAGCACCCTGTCAAGAGTCTCATACAACATCTGAAAGTGGCTGTCAGTGTGGGAAAAGAGGATGAAAAACTGGTCATTTTGTTTGGCCTCATGTCCATCATTATGTGTTGCTTTCATGCTAAACGCACAATAAGACCAGGCACTGGATAGTGTAGTCCAACATCTTTTTAACATCTTGAGTAGGGCTGGCCGATAAAAGGATACATAATTAAAATAATAACTATGTTAATATATTTTTCCTTTTCCTAAAATTATAGTATAAGGTCAATAAATATTCAGTTGTTTAAATGTTCAAATAAAAAAACAAATCTTCATTCCCTTCTAACATTTCAAATGGGAAATGTATGTTTCTTTATTTCAGTATTGATTGGTATGAAGGTAATAATTTTACAACTTTTATTGATTTCTTGTTTTTAATCCAAACTAATACAAATCTAACAAGATCGCTTTTTAAATTTATGTTGTTTTCTGTTGATACGTGAACTTCACTAAACATTATTTGCAGCACAAATGTCATCAAATAATGGGAATAAGCTTTGAAATCAAGTGTATGGCGACATGGTGGCTCAGTAGTTAACACTGTTGCCTCACAGCAAGAAGGTCACTTGGCATTTCTGTGTGGATTTTGCATGTTCTCCCTGTGTTGGCGTGGGTTTCCAATGGGTGCTCCAGTTTCTCCCACAGTCCAAAGACATGCGCTACAGGTGAACTGAATAATCTAAATTGGGCATTGTTTGTGCGACAGTGTTTGTATGGATGTTTCCCAGTACTGGGTTGCAGCTGGAAGGGCATCCGCTGCGTAAAAAATTGGAATAGTTGTCGGTTCATTCTGCTGTGGCGACCCCTGATGAATAAAGAGACTACGCCGAAGGAAAATGAATGAATAAATGAAATTAAGTTTATTATGAAATATAAACAGTAAATGTGGTTTTCCCTCTCTAATGTGAAATGAAGCAACCATCTCTTCATCTTCACTAGTTTCGGACACAGTTTCGGTACGGTTTGGAATATATGTTCACTAAAAAAAAACAAATATAGCTAAACTAAACTGTCAAATAAAAAAAATGTTTTCAAAGTCAATGATTGCATTGTGCAAAAGATTTATTGAATGTTTACGTTCCATAAGTGATTGAATTCTTGTCAAGTCGAGCACGTTGACATATTTGAGAAATTTCACTTGATTACACATCACTTTCACTTTCATGTAAAAGCATCAGCATCACTAACTTCAGCACTCACTGATAGGCCAGCCAGATTCAAATATGCATAGAGCCGGTTGAGAAAGTAATACAAACAAAGGATTTAGGCAACATTTAAATTTAAATGCAAAAAAAAATAAAAAATTGATCCATGGAGGTTGTACCGAGCAGATCAATATTATATTGAGTATTGCGTCATCCCTAGTCTTTACTACTTATAACACAAAATAAACAAATGAGACTATATGTAATGTCTCATGTAATCTGTTAATTAGTTTTGAAATAAAAATGCCTGTATACACTGTCAAGTAATATTACATTTAAATAAAAGCTATTTTATTCATATAATAATAATAATACATTTTATTTAAAGGCGCCTTTCTGAAAACTCAAGGACACCGTACAATCAACAAGAGCAATAAAAAACAAGAGAAATAATAAAAAATACACAGCAATGTAGCAGATAAATTAATTAAGTATTAAAAGCCATCTTAAATAAGTGGATATATAGTTTTGCAGTGTTGCGAGTTTTATTTGTTTAGAAAGAAATTGTACATCTCTGACAATAAAGAGTAGTTTAAAACAGGGGTTCCCAAAAAGCCCATCACCCCTAAAATAACAACTCCAATGACTCGCACCCACCATTTTGCTCGGAGGTTGTAATAAAGATACAAACATTGCACACAATGGTGCACACACACCAGTAGGAACAATATAAACATGAGCATATTGACAACACAAAAAAGTGCAACAGTCTAACAATTTTTTATAAGCATTATTATATAAATAATATAGCATATTTCTTTAATTTAATATTAACCTCACTTAATGAGAATGGTGTGCACAATGTTTACAGCACAAGACTATTCTTGGTTTAATTTTGAAGACCACCACTTGGAGATCATCCTCTATGTTCAGCCGTGGACTTGATTTTTAATGTATGTGAGTGCCAAAAAGGTGTCAAAGTCTAACATTGTGCCATAAAATCAATCTGCTGCAACTAACGCTATTGCAGTGACGTTAATCTAGCATAATAACCCCAGGGGTTGCAATCCAATGGAAAAAAATTTGAAAGACTGATAGCTTTTTATTTGCATGTGTTTT